TAGTAGCCATCCTAATAGGAGTGAGGTAGTGAATTTTTTGTTTTTCATGTATAAAATCTGTTAATTTTTTCCTTCATGTTTCTTGTTGTCCTTGGAAAGGTCTTTGACTTCCTGAGGATACACAAGCAGTCTCCAAATTTTCCTTATAATACATTTATCACTTCATTTGGTATGTTTGGGGCTTTGATTCACTTGGAATTCATTTTCTATTTAAGACAAGGAGTGCTAACTGTCCTCCTATAGACTGAGAGTCAGTGATGCCAGTGTCATTCTTGACAGTTTATGCCTTTCCCTTTCTACTACTCTGTCTTTCCTGTGACTCCTCTGCCCCCAGACCCATGACCAATACTGAACTACTATTGTTTTTAATATTTCCTATCCTTGCTTGCTAATCAGTACTATCAAATTAGACTTTAGTTTTTATCACAAGAAAGTGAGTATGAATAAACAGCACATAATAAAAAATGTACCTCTTGTGAAAATAAAATATTCAGAAGGATTATAAAAGAAAATCTTATGGCTGTTATCACTTGTCTTATACACTGAGGTGCTCCAATGTTGGATTCATATATATTTACAATTGTTGTCTTCTTGGATTGATCCCTTGATCATTATGTAGTGTCCTTCTTTGTCTCTTATAACAGCCTGTAAAGTCTGTTTTGTCTGATATAGTATTACTACTGCAGCTTTCTTTTGATTTCCATTTGCATGGAATACCTCTTTCCATTCTCTCACTTTCAGTGCGTGATTGTTTTAAGTTGTTGGTCTTTTAATTCCAAATGCATTTCCAATATCCTGTATTTGGACTCCCTTCTTCTCACAATTCTTCATTTTGATATCATATTTGTGTGTGGATTTTTCCTGCTTTTACTTTATCTCTGTGTATGTACTCAGTTGATTGGTCATGTCCTACTCCTTGTGATCCCATGGACTGTAGCCCTCCAGGCTCTTTTGCCCATGGTATTTTCCAGGCAAGAATACTCGAATGGAGTGCCATTTCCTACTCCAGGGCATCTTCCCGACCCAGGGGTTTAACCCACCTCTCTTGTGTCTCCTGAATTGGCAGGTGGATTCTTTACCACTAGCGCCACCTGGAAGCCCCAGGTTTATCTTTACTGGTGAGCTCTCCCATTCATAAGTTTCTTGTTTTTAGTTGTTTTTGATTAGGTTGTTTGCTTTTTGATATTAGGGTACATGAGCTATTTGTATATTTTAGAGATTAATCCCTGTCAGTCACATCGTTTGCAAATATTTTCTCCCATTCAGTGGGTTGTCTTTTCATTTTGTTTATGGTTTTCCTCTAGAGAAGTTCTTTTAGCATTTACTGTAAATGCTGGCTTGGTAGTGCTGAATTTTCTTTGCTTTGTCTATAAAGCTTTTGATTTCTCTGTTGAATTTGAATGAAAGCCTTGCTGGGTAGAATATTCTGGGTAAAGTATTCTTGGTTGTAGGTTTTTCCCTTTCTTCACCTTAAATATTTCATGTTACTTTGTGCTGGCCTGCAGAGTTTCTGCTGAAAAATCATCTGGTAATCTCATGGGGGTTCCCTTGTATGTTATTTGTTGTTTTTCTCTTGTGGATTTTAATATTTTCTGTTTATAATTTTTTCAATTTAATTAATATGTGTCTCAGAAATATGGATCAATAGAACAGGAGAGAAAGTCCATAAATGAACTGGCACACCTATGGTCAATTAATGTACAACACAGGAGACAAGAATATACAATGGAGAAAAGACAGAATCTTCAATAAGTAGTGCTGGGAAAACTGGACAACTACATATAAAAGAATGAAATTAGAACATTCTCTAACACAATACACAAAAATAAACTCAAAATGTAAGACCAATACTATAAAACTCTTAAAGGAAAATGTAGCCAGAACATTCTTTGACATAAATTACAGCAATATCTTTTTTGACTTGATCTACCTCCTACAGGAATGAATATTAAAAACAAAAATAAACAATGGGACCTACATAAACCTAAAAACTTTTGCACAGCAAAGGAAACCATAAACAAAATGAAAAGACAACCCACTGAATGGGAGAAAATATTTGCAAACGATGTGACTGACAGGGATTAATCTCTAAAATATACAAATAGCTCATGTACCTTAATATAAAAAAGCAAACAACCTAATCAAAAGATGAGTAGAAGAGCTAAACAGACGTTTCTCCAAAGAAAACATACAGATAGACAAAAATGCAAATCAAAACAAGGAGGTACATCACCTCACACCAGTCAGAATGACCATCATCAAAAAGAAATAAATGCTGGGGAGGGTATAGAGAAAAAGAGAACCCTCCTACATTGGTGGTAGCACTGTAAACTGGTATAGCCACCATGGGAATAGTATGAAAGTTCCTTAAAAAACTAAAAATAGAACTATCATATGATCCAGGAATCCCACTCATGGGCATATAACTATCCAGAGAAAACCATAATTCAAAAAGATACATTCATCCTAATGTACATTGCAGCACTATTTATTAACAATAGCCAAGACATGGAAGCAACCTAAATATCCAGTGAGAGAGGAATGGATAAAGATGTGGTACTATATATAATGGAATATTACTTATCCACACTAAAGAATGAAATAATGCCATTCACAGCAACATGGATGGACATAGAGAAGTAAGTCACACAGAGAAAAACAAATATCATGATGTCAATTATATGTGGAATCTAAAAAAAAAAAAAATGAGACAACTTCATTTACAAAACAGAAACAGAACCAAAGACTAAGAAAATAAACATATGGTTACCACAGGGGAAAGTAGGGGGGAGGGATAAATTAGGAGTTTAAGATTACCCTACATACACTACTATATATAAAACAGATAATCAACAAGGACATATTCTATAGTACAGGAAACTTAATAGTCTGTAATAATCTAAATGGGAAAAGAATCTGATAAAGAATGTGTGTGTACATATACATATATATAACTGAATCACTTTGAATCACTTTGCTGTACATCTGAAACTAATACAACACTGTAAATCAACTATAAAATTTTTTAAAGAAATAACTAAAAAAAATTATGTTTACAAAAAGCCTGTGTGAAAATGCTTATAGCACAAAAAAAACTTATAACATTAAACTCTAGTTACACTTAAGTTTGTTTCTCAGTTTGACCTTTCTCTCCCTATCTGTAGCTATTCAGTTTAGGTTTTTATTTAGCATTGTCTTTGAAAAGAAACGACTGCTCACTAGAGGGATTCAGTTCAGTCGCTCAGTTGTGTCCAACTCTTTGTGACCCCATGAGCCACAACATGCCAGGCCTCCCTGTCCATCACCAACTCCCAGAGTCTACTCAAACTCATGTCCATCAAGTCGGTGATGCCATCCAGCCATCTCATCCTCTGTTATCCCCTTCGCCTCCTGCCCCCAATCCCTCCCACCATCAGGGTCTTTCCCAATGAGTCAACTTTGCATCAGGTGACCAAAGTACTGGAGTTTCAGCTTCAGCATCAGTCCTTCCAGTGAACCCAGGACTGATCTCCTCTAGGATGGACCTGTTGGATCTCCTTGCAGTCCAAGGGACTCTCAAGAGTCTTCTCCAACACCACAGTTCAAAAGAAGCAAATCTAAGATTTATTGGTCATAACTGGGTCAGGCTCATTTTTCTGTAGAACTCTTAGATCCATACAAATTAGAACAGGAAAACATGCAAAAATAGTATCTTTTTCAATTTCATGAATTAACCATTATTTTCTTGTAATAGTGAAATATTTTATTTTTAAATTGCATGTGTACACAAATATCAGAGGTATTTTTCCCAGAAATGGGATATTTGGGATATTTGAAATATCCCATGGGATATTTCCCAGAAATGGATAACTAAATAATGAATTCTTCCTACAATCTGCTTTTGTTTTCATTTTAAAATCAAGTTTAAAGAATCAATTTCTAATTTAAGTGCTTGTCTAAAATTTCAATTAGAATTGGAAATGATTGCACCATGAATTCTTCCCATTAACAATTTTTATACACTAGATTAACCTTCCAGTGTTAACTGGATTCTGATTTTAGCTGCTGTAAAATGTATTTTTTTCTTAATGAGAGAATCTCCAGATTAATAGCCATCTAAGCTGAGCTCCCAAAATACTTTGCAAAACTGATAAGCTAACATTTGAGCATTGTTTTAAAGTAAAACAGATCAGCTCAACCCACCCTTTTAACAAAAAATTTTCTGTGGTATATACTGCACCTCCTTAGGGCAAATAAGGTCTAATACTCAAGGAGGGTGATATGAGTATTAGGGATAGGAATGCTTGAAGAGAAATTGGAAAATTTAAAAGAGAAAAAAGCAGTTATCTTCCTCACTTCCTGACACTGTGAGGAAAATTTTCATGGTGTGTTTTAGTAAGAAAATAGAAAATGTATGGAATATAAAGCTTAAAAGTAATTATTTATGATAAGGAATATATAAGTAATCATGGTTATCTGAATACCAGACCACCTTACGTGCCTCCTGAGAAACTGTATGCAGGTCAAGAAGCAACAGTTAGAACCAGACACAGAACAACAGACTGGTTCCAAATCGGGAAAGGAGTACGTCAAGGCTGTATATTGTCACCCTACTTATTTAACTTATATGCAGAATACATCATGCAACATACTGGGCTGGATGAAGCACAAGCTGGAATCAAGACTGCTGGGAGAAATATTATTAACCTCAGATATGCAGATGACACCACACATGGCAGATAGCAAAGAACTAAAGAGCCTCTTGATGAAAGTGAAAGAGGAGAGTGAAAAAGTTGGCTTAAAACTTAACATTCAGAAAACCAAGATCATGGCATCTGGCCCCATCACTTCATGGCAAATAGATGGCAATACATTGAAAATAGTGAGAGATTTTATTTTCTTGGGCTCCAAAATCACTGCAGATGGTGACTGCAGCCATGAAATTAAAGACTCTTGCTCCTTGGAAGAAAAGCTATGACCAACCTAGACAGCATATTAAAAAGCAGAGAACTTTTGTTCAGCTGGAAAGGCAGCTAATAATGCAGAATGAAATGAGAGAAAGACAAATGGCTATGCAGATTGCTTGGTCTCGGGAATTCCTCAAATATTTTGGAACTTTTTTTGGCATTACAGCCATCTCTTTAACAGCTGGGTATGTTTGCTATTTATTTTAAAATTTTCTTCCATTTCTTTTTATCTTTGCCATGATCATATTATTAAGTTGGCCAAATAGGACTTTGACCTAAATAATTACACATATATGTCAACAAAGTAACACTTATAGCTTAGTGCTTGGGGGTAACTCTGTAGAACAAGGATAGTAATAGTTAATTCTGCCTTTAGTTTCTTAGATTTCTCCTGTACCTTTCTCCATTTTACAATATTAGTAAGGGAGAGGATTGACTTTACGCAAAGCTAGAAGGTCTCTACAAATTCATCTCCACAATCCCTAAGGGATAATGATCAATACTTACATATTTTTAAAATGAATAATCTGAGCCTCAACATCAAATAAAGGTGAACAAATCATAAGCCCATACACCCTACCAGAGAACTACAGAATCTGAGGAATTATGAATAAGGAAATCCTATCTCCATAGAGAATTACGTACCTTCTGAAATGTAGGATATTCTTCCAAAAAGCGGGTAACTTTGATATGTATTTGCAGATTTTTCTTTTATATTAATTCTTTTTTGTTCTTGAATCAGAGCAATTAAAGGGAAGAAGCCCGTCCTCATCTTGCCTATGGTTCCATTAGGCTTTGTCCTTGCCTATCAGTATGACATGGGCTATGGAACCCTTATACACAGAATGAAAGGTAAGTCTTTGATAAACCAGAGTCTCAATTTCTGATTCATTTTTCAGTTCAAGGATCCAGTCCTCCCTGGTAGCTGAGCTACCATTAACCAGTATTTCTGCCCCCTCTTACACAGCAATATGCTGAAGTCACCTCAAACGGCTCACAAGCGCCAACTGTCAAGTGTTTAGGAATTTTGTAAGCTGTTTGTTAAATACAGTCATTATTAAAAATTAAATGATATAAGCTAACACAACATTGTAAATCAACTATACTTATATTTAAAAAAAACTGGGGTTTCCCAGGTGGTCCAGTGGTTAAGACTCCATGCTTCCACTGCAGGGGGCACGGGTTCAATCCCTGGTCTGGGAACTAAGATCCCACATGCTGCATGGTGTGGCCAAAAAGATAAAAAGTAACAGATAAATAAATAACTTTAAAAAATTAAAGTATATAAACTTACAATTCAATAAATTACAGAAAATAAATAGTTTGAATTATATAAGAAACATTAATACATACTCAGAGCTTATCAGTCTCTAATTTTACTATTATCTATACTCTTAAGTTATGTATATATCTTCAAGTTATGTATATCTACTGTATCTGTATGGTGGAAATGAAGATACAATATATAGACACAATAAAATACAGATGCAACTCTTACTTCCATGACATCCCACTGGCATGTCAGTTTAAAGTTGATCATGGTGGGAGTATTTACACCATGGAAATCTGCAAATCCCAAATTAAGGCTTGACTTCCTATTTTGTTGATTGTCTAGATCAGGGGTTGATAAACTGTGGTCTACAGGCTGGCCACCTATTTTTGAAAATAAAGTTTTATTGGAACACAGACGTGCCCATTCATTCCTAATTTTCCATTTCCATGTCAGAGACGACTCACTGAAACAGATATCAAAGTGCCCACAAGCCTAAAATGTTTCCTTATCTGGCCTTTTAAGAAAGTTTGCCAACCCATGATCTAGACTTAAAAAAAATGATGAAGAAAATGTTAATAATGTATATTAGTCTTAAAAGTGTACTGTAAAAAGCCATCATATTGTGAATAGCATTAAAAAATTTAGGAAGTGTTCTAATATTTTAAAACTATTATCTGATTCAACAAAGTTCACAGCATTCTCAAACAAGTAAGTTCCAACATTTGTCCTTGTTTCAGTTTTGTCCTATTTATTAACATAAATAAAAACAGCAACCATCATTCATGTTGAATTATACTCTCTCATCAACTGTTATAGGTGAGCTATGGGTAAAAGAGTTCAGCAAAAATCAATAAAAACATTCTTTAAGGATCAATTTGCTATATGTAATTCATGATAAAGAGTATTGTATGTTTTATTATTTATAAATTATGTGCTACACATATTTCATATAAGCAAAATTTATAATAAGCTATGTACATAATAAGCTTATCCACATTTTTTGTTGTTTTGGGAAGCTTGCTGTTAAATGTTCACCAGTACCATGCTGCTTTCACACTGAACTCTGGCTCTCACTGCCCTAGAAAATAGCACTGCTGACACAGATTCCTTTCCTGACCCAGAAAGACCCCAGGATATCCATGTCTTTGATTCCCACCACCACATACTGCTCATGATGATAACTATTTCCCTACTCCTGATGCCTTCAGCCCAGAGCATACTGGAAACAGAGTTTCCCAAGCCTTCATTTTTGACATCCTGTTCTCTCCTAAGCTGTAGGCTCAAGACTATCCCTGAGGCTCTGTAGGGACTGATATGGTATGGGAAAGGAGAAGGTGCAGATTCCTCTGTAGGTATTGGAAGTAGGGAGTAAAACATTTCATTCACAGACTTAGGGAGATAGAGGAATGTTCTTTAAAATTCCCATTTGACAGAGACAATAGTTGCAAAAGAAACAACTGATAAAAGATTAATCTCCAAAATATATAAGCAGCTCATGCAGCTCAATACCAGAAAGACAAACAACCCAAACAAAAACTGGTAGGAAGACCTAAATAGACATTTATCCAAAGAAGACATACAGATGGCCAACAAACTCATGAAAAGATGCTCAACAATGCTCATTATTAGAGAAATGAAAATTAAAACTACAATGAAGTATCACCTCACACCTGTCAGAATGGCCATCATCAAAAAATCTACAAACAATAAATGGAAAGGGTGTGGAGAAAAGGGGACCCTCTTGCTCTGTTGGTGGGAATGTAAATTGATACAACAAGTATGGAGAACAGTATGGAGATTCCTTAAAAAAAAAAAACCAAACTGGGAATAAAACTACCATATGACCCAGCAATCCCACCACTGGGCATATAACCCTGAGAAAACCATAACTGAAAAAGACACATGGACCCCAATGTTCATTGCAGCACTATTTACATTAGCTGGACATGGAAGCAACCTAGACATACATCAACAGATTAATGGATAAAGAAGCTGTGGTATATATATATACAATGCAATACTCCTCAGCCACAAAAAGGAACACATTGAGGCAGTTCTAGTGAGGTGTATGAACCTAGAGTCTGCTATACAGACTGAAGTCAGTCAGAAAGAAAAACAAGTATCATATATTAATGCATATATATAGAAAATCTAGAAAAATGATACTAATGAACCTATTTGCAGGGCAGGAATAGAGATACAGACATAGGGAACAGACTCTGGATATGGCAGGGGAAGAAGAGAGTGGGATGTACTGAGAGTAGCACTGAAACATATACATTACCATATGTAAATGAGATAGCTAATGAGAAGCTGTTGTATAACATAGGGAGCTAAATGTGGTGCTCTGTGTCAACCTAGAGGGGTGAGATGAGGTGGAGGGCTGAGGGGGGAGGTTCAAGAGGGAGAGAACACGTACACTAATGGCTGATTCATATTGCTCTATGGCAGAACCCAAAACAAAATTGTAAAGTAGTTATCCTCCAATTAAAAATAAATTTTAAAAAATCCCCATTTGAAAACAGAAGTACATTTTTCACAAAGATACTAGGTTAAAATGTCTTCTGGGGTCAGATGTTATTGGTGTCACAGTTCAGTATATAGTGGGCTAAACAGTGTCTTGTGGGTTGCTTAGAAATTTATAGCATAGATCACTGTGGAAAATGTATTCTGAGTTTTAAAACACTGATCTACAAATTAACTTTTGGAGTACAATTCTATTTTAAGATGAAAACTAACTGTACAAATTGATTTACTTATGTTAAAATTCATTTCAGTAACCTATTCAGTTTCATGTTACTCATCTGCTTAAGAATTCTTTAGTCTGAGCTCAACTGTGTCTCATTGATAATATGCACATTCGAATTCTCAGTGCCGCATACAAATTAATATGTAGTATTAAGAAATCTCAACTCTGTTATACAGCATTCACTTGATGATATTACTAATGAAGGGCAAATTTATTTTCTAGGAACATTTTGCTTATGTATTTTGGAAATACTTTTATTACAGGCCCATTAGTATAGAGTATAAAAGTTTAACTTCCAAGTTATGTTGTGGAAATGGAAATTTCTTGTTTAAAAAAAAAATTTAGAACCCACTAAGAAATTTACCATTTAAAAAAACATAGAGACTATAACATATAGCCCTGTTAACTAGTGATCACTCCAAGATACACACTTCCTGTTTAATTGAATTTATTATCAGCCATTCTGTTAACACATACTAAGAATCTGTCATGTGGAAGGTACTCTCACATGGAAACATCTAGTCTGTCATCAATAGCCTTCAGAATTACATACAATTTTATTATTATTTTTATTTACTATTTAAGACTGAGGGGGGGTAAAAAACATGTTTGCTGATAGTTGGAATGCTGTGATAATTTACAACTTGTAGCCTGCCCTGTTGGGTTTGGAATATAGATTAATTGTGTGTTAAAAGAGGAATACTTAAAGAAAACAATTGCCTTTATTCTCAAGGAAAAGTATGTGGAATGTCAACAATATATAATTTTTCAAATATTGCTAATTAGTCTTAAAGAATAAAAGTTGGCAAAAGTCACTGGGCCCAAGATATTACGAGCTATTATTTAAAAGAGGACTTGTTTATAAAAATGTATATATATATGTGTGTGTGTGTGCATTTATTTGGGATATTTATAAGTAGTTTCAAGTCAAAGATTAGCTTTCTTGAAAAATTAGAGATTTTAGTAAACTTTATTTTTCCTCATGTCACTTATAAGAAGGGGCCATAAGAAGAACTAATACGTGATTTCTCTGCCCTAATCGCCTCCTGACACAACTCAAACTCATCATCCTGACTTTCCTGCAAGGAACAAGCAGTGTTACTTGGTGTTGTTTCTCTTCTGTATTTAAAAATGCTGTCCTTTGTCAGATAAAGTCTCTGGAATCTGATATAGCTTACATATCTGATGTATCTTGTGTATTCATTACTGTATTTCCTTTGGGAGGTCGTTCTCCCAGGGACGGTAGGTAAGATATTTAGCGGTGAGATCTGGGGGCAGGCCTCCATACAGTGTTACAGCATGTCACTGGAATACAGCAAGTAGGTCTTCTCACAAAATGCTGATTACCCCTTTGTCACCTTGTACATTTCTGTACTTTATTTAAGGTGAAGCTGAGAACATACTGGAAACAGAAAAGAGTAAGTTGCAGCTGCCAAAAGGAGTGATCACTTTTGAAAGCCTTGAAAAAGCAAGAAGGGAACAGAGTAAATTTTTCATAGACAAATGAAATCATGTTTACCCCATCAAATCTCAAAAAACAGAATTGTTGACTTGAATCATGACCTTTATAATTTTTTAAATGCTTGCGATTTTGATATAATGGATTTCATTTTAAAACAGTAATCACGATGAATTTTGTTAAACTATTTTAAAATAAAATTTATACCATTCAACACAAATTCATGGAAGTACTCTAAATAACTTTAAGATTTCCTATATATGTGTATGTATCACAAACATCTGAATGTAACATTATAAAATATATTGTTCTGAATTTCTGAAAGCAAAAATTTCTGCTGCTCTCATTTCTCTGTCATACACACTTTCACCATCACATTAATCTCCCACAGATACTACTTTTATTTGGATTTTTAAATTGTGTCCTGTCTCCACATGATAGAAAAATACTAATATTAACTATTAACATGTATATTGCACTTGCTATGGCCATATACTCTCTGTTTTGCATAAATTCTTGTAACCATCCCAGCAACCTTATGAGGCAGGCATCATTTCATAGATGTGAAAACTAAGGCATAAAAAAACTGAATTACTTACTCAGGATTATACACAGACAGAACTGAGACATAACCTTAGATGGTCTGGCTCCCGTGTCTACACTCTAAAAGATCTTGAAAAACTTCTGCCTTAATGCATTCTGGACATGCAAAGAGAGTAGTGAAAGACAAAAGGCAAAAACATTCAAATAATGACTCAGGGTATAGTTGCTAGAGAGGTGGGAAGAAGGCAAGGTTAATTAGGATGCCTACTTTTTTATTTCCACTCACCAGGAAATCTGTACTCATAAAATAATTATATTTATGCCATTTTTACAGGTGTAAACCCTACATGTGCTAATTTCAAAATATTTATTAAGACCTACTGTGTGTCAGGCACTGTTATAGGCACTAGGGCTACATGAGTGAATATAGAGACAAGGTTGCTATATCCTAGGCAGAGAAGTAAGTTCTAGCAAAGAGTAGTAGATCTGAAAAGAGAATCAATAAACATGAAGATAAGTTCATTTCTAACAGTGACACATGCAAATAGGATGATAAAAGAATAAGAATAATGTTGGAGAAGCCTACTTTGATCTTGGACAGTAGGGACTGCCTTTCTGCAGAGATGACACTTGAGCTAAGACTTGAATGATGAATGAGGCAGTCCTGTGAAGAACATGAATGGGGACAGGGAAGGGATCTAGGCAAAGGGAAGAGCCAGAGGGAGGCCCTGAGACTTGGCATGGCCAGAGAATAAAAGAAGGCCAGGGAGAATCCCAGAAAATGAAATCTGAAGGGAGAAAACAATTATGAATACAATGCTGCTACTCTCAAGCATAGCAAGATATAGTTTGAAACAATAATAGTTACAGAGAACTTAGGCAAGGTCTTCAAGGATATGTTGATTTTCTCCATGAAGACAAGGAGGTAAAGTGGAGGGGCATTCTGTGTTGAAGGCGACTGATAAAAGGCAGGTCCATGCATGCCAAGTCCAGGGATCTGCTGCTACTTGTTCTGTTTGCCTAGGGCAAGAAGTTCCCACATGGGGTACTTGTCATGAAAGGAGCCTAGAGGCATAGTTCAACTCCTCAAGGACCTTGGGTGTAACACTCCATAGTTTGCACTCTACCTTCAGGGTGATGGGTATGAAAGAATCTGCACTGGGGTTTTACTGGGATCAGTCAGTTGCTGAGGGAGGATCCCAGAGCCCAATCAGGGAGGAACTGCAATGGTCACCTGAGCACTCGCCGGGGCCCTAATCTGTCTAAGATGTGGCTCTGGGAATGGATTCAGCAAAATGAAAAGGAATAATAACAGGCTGAGGGAGCTAGTTGGAGGTTTTAGAGGGAGGAGAAGGTGAGTTCCCTTCATTTAATCCACATGGATTATCTGGGGCCCCTGGAGAACAAAGGAAGGAACTAATGCGGAGGCATACTCATAGTCTAGTGGATATCTTAAGATTTAGCACTGGCTTATAGACCACATGTCAGAATTGGGAATCATTAAGTCTTTCTTTCTTTTGTCATCTGACAAAGGTCCCATCTAGTCAAAGCTATGGTTTTTCTAGTAGTCATATATGGATGTGAGAGTTGGACCATAAAGAAAGCTGAGCACCAAAGAATTGACGCTTTTGAACTGTGGTGTTGGAGAAGAAGACTCGAGAGTCCCTTGAACTGCAAGGAGATCCAACCAGTCCATCCTAAAGGAAATCAGTCCTGAATATTCATTGGAAGGACTGATGCTGAAGCTCCAATACTCCGGCCACTTGATGCAAAGAACATTGGAAAAGACCCTAATGCCAGGAAAGGTTGAAGGTGGGAGGGGAAGGGGATGACAGAGAATGAGATGGTTGGATGGCATCACCAACTTGATGGACATCAGATTGAGCAAGCTCGGGGAGTTGGTGATGGACAGGGAAGCCTGCCATGCTGCAGTCAATGGGGTTGCAAAGAGTCGGACATGACTGAGTGACTGAACTGAAGTCTTTCTTTCCACTGAAATTCAATCATGCTGTCCAAATACCCCTGACATGATCTAACCAGGGCTCCCCAAGAGTGGGTTCAGTCCCCTCTAAGGGTTGACTGGCTAAATAACTTACATGGGATTTGTGATGTGCAATATATCCAGGTCCTGAGCTCCTTCTGAACCACCAGGCCATCCATCTGTCTTGGTTTCTTACATTAGCATTGACCCCAAGTTCACTAATAACTGTTACTTGATAGAGCCTCTGCTAAACACACTCACATACTCATACTTTTTCTTTAGTTGCTTCCTGTGTTCTCCAGGGGCCCCAGATAAGCCATGTGGATCAAATAAAGGGAAATCACCTTATCCTCCCTTTAAACCTCCAAATGGCTCCCCAGCCTTGTTATTATTCCATTTGATTATCCTGACTCCATCCCCAGAGCCAAGTCTGGTATGTGGGGAGGTAAAAAATCAAAGCATAGCTATTAACTAATGGCTTTGCAAAACAACTGTATTAAAATATATCCTAATTGTCTTTTTAGTATTAATCACAATCCAAAGCTTTCCTCCTAATTTATTATTTACAGTATTCTATAATTGAAAAGATAAACATTTATGCCCTGATTCTCCTGAGCTGTTTCTTAGTCATATATCTTAATTAATAATTGCATTAATATATGCTTGGGACTTCCCTGTTGGTCCAGTGGTTAAGACTCTGCACTCCCAATTCAGGGGGTGCAGGTTTGATACCTGGTCAGGGAACTAAGGTCCCACATAGCATGTGGTGCAGCCAAAATATTTAAAAAAATAATAATAAATACTAAGCCTCAATTATTAACTAGACATCTGACATCTCCAAATTCTGAATACATATGGTTTTTGTTCAGCTAAATTACAACCACAGATTTTTGTGATATTACAAGAAGACTGACTAAATTATTCTAAGAAAGTATATAAGGAGAAGGATAACAAACTATGATCTGAGAAGGAGGAAAGATTTAGAGCTTAAAATAATGGCAGCTTCATCCAATGTCTTTGTCAGTGATTAAGAATAAAGATGGGAGGGGGGTGTGAATCTCTTCAGTCCATATGACTGTCCATCTCTCCCCAAATACTGCTGTTTTGACCAAAGCAGAGACTCTCAGTGGATGTGGTGGTTAAGTCATGATTTAAAGGAAATAAATATGGGTGCAGAAATTCTCTGCAGCAGAATGACCCTTCTTGGAAATCACTTTATAATAGTAAATATGGAGTTTATGACATCACAGTACCTGAGTATTTTGAATGTTTAAAATTCATATTTAAATGGGAAAACTGGGGAGTAAACTTACACGGACTAAAATTACAAATAAATAAAGTTTACATGGAGTTCCACCCAATTGTCTTTAGAGGTAATGTCTGTGTAGGGCATAGTACTTAACTGCACTTTGCACTGCAGTGCCCCAAATCTACTGAAAAGAGTTTTAATGACAAATACTGAAATGATCATCAAGATCTTAAGGAAGGGGGGAAGACCTTTAGAAATGATCTTGTCTAAGCCTCCATTTTTACAGTTGAGTAAATGGAGGTCCTTAGTGATTTATCTAAAGTTTCACATCTAGTAATGGTAGTTTGTTCTAAACATTTGGTATACCTAGGAGGATGTTTTTCCCCCAATACAACATGCTGCCTGACTCTAAGAGAACAATGACAAAGTAAAAAAAAAAATTTTTTATAAAATCACCACATAAACTCTGTCTCAGAGCCTTAGAAGATGCCCTATAGAAGGACATGAGTTAGAAGAGATGGGAAGGAAGACTCAGGTTGCAAAAATAATCTACAACATAATGGGAATATGAGCAATCTGAAGTTGAAAATGTTTTTATAGATTTCAACAATTTTAATATTTATACATTCAAATGGGATATTCTAGACCCTTGCCAGAACTATTCTTCTCCACTCTTCTGAGAAAAGAACAAACTCTTACAGAGAATATATTTTTACATTAGTTTTTTGAGAAAATATTTTAAAATAAAGCCTGTTACTCAGGCAGTGTGGTTGTTTTTGGCCTTGGAGTATGTCTGCTTGGCATGAGGGTTGGAAATGTTCCTTAGCTTTGGCCTTGTGGATGATTTCAGGAATCATTTCAGGAATACTTGCATACTACCAACTATCAATTTGCAGAAAGTAGCTTCTAATTTTCAAGGCTAACTATTTCGCATCCCTGCTGATTTGTCTACTGGAAACTCTGCGTCAGTCTTGGATTATGAAGGCTGGAAAAGTACTTGGGCTACAGGTGCACCAGGAAGCACACATTAACCAGGGGAAGAGAAGGGGAAACAAAAAACAAAGACTAAAAAATAAGAAGTGGACCAAGTATAGTTTCAGGAAGGGAGAGAGCTAACCCAAAGCCCTCTCACAGTAAAGAGCTCAAGAATGGCTACCACAGTTCAGTTACTGGCCTAGATGGAAGAATTGAGTTTCCCAGGGACAAAAGTCACCCATGGGATCCCCTCAAAGGCCAGTTTATTTTGCTAGGCTAACTTGCTCCTCTGGCTACTTGGATGACAGTAAGAAGTATGGCTGGGGCAACACAAATTCATCATGATCACAGATAAAAGCAAATGGAAATCTATACCCCACTGATGAAGATTCAGTAACATTGCTGAGTCTGAGGTCTGGATGACCTTTTTGATTCACAATTTCTTAGTTCACAAGTGTCATGAAACTGAATGATGAGATGCAGGCAGATCCTTAATCGGAGGTGGTTTTGCCATTTCATTTGGTGTTAGGAAAACAGAGTTAAGGATGTGTCCAAATGAAGTCACATCCCATGGAAGACTGGC